ACTGTTCTGTTATACTCCTGGGAAAACAGCAGTCACATATACATTTGGGTGACTTTTTTTTTTCTTTTTTTTTCCCAGATATTTAGCAAGATTTACATATGAGGTTATAGTCTTCTACCCTTTACATGATGATAACTGCTATTTCCTTGTGTTTCTGTATTTACCATCTGTCTCTTTTTCTTCGAGTAAAATCAAGAAAGAAAAAGTCTCTGTAACACAGTAGAACAAAATCTTACCCATAACTATGTAGTGCAATAGTAGTAATCATAATAGAAACATAATATTGTTCAGTTTAGTGATGGATACATAGAAGTAAACAGATTTAGTTATATAAAAGTTCATTTTCCGAATATATTCAGGGGCCCCAGGGGATAATTTGATGCTTTGAGCTATCTATTCATAGGCAAGGTCATCAGACTTTGATGGGGGCCCAATTGCCTTATAATTCTCAGTTATTTACTTCTATGTAGCACCCTTTTGATCATTTCCAGTATGAAGTGGCAGGAATTTACAGGCTGTTGAGTATTAGCCTGTACACGGGTTTCACAAATGAATATGGTGAAGTACTGGTTTCAGAATAGTATTGAGAGGTGATCCTTCCTTTCTACATAATCCTGGTGAGACACATCTGCTGTGTCTGGTCATGGGCTCCCCAGCACAAGAGAGATATACACACACTGGAAGGAGTCCACCAGAGAACCATAAAGATGGTAAGGGACTGGAGCATCTGACACATAAAGATGAGAAAGCTGTGAGTGTTTATCTTGGAGCAGAGAAGTCTCAGGGGGGTCTTATCAATATATCTAATAGATAATTGATGGGGAGAGAGGGAGAGGACAAAGAAGATGGAGCTAGAACTTTCTCTATAGAATCCAGTGACAGGACAGAAAGCAATGGGATCATGATAAATGTGTAATTCAGCTTAAATATAAGAAAATATTCAATCAAATAATCATACTTTTTTTTTTTTCTTCTGTAAGGTTGGTCAAACACCAGAACAGATGGTCCACAGAATTTGCTGCAGCTCCGTCTTTGGAAACATTCAAAGATGATCTGGACACTGGCCCAAGAAACCTGCTGTAATTTGTTCTTTGAACACTAGACAATCACCAGATATGTTTTGCATTCTCAGAGATTCAGTAATTGTTAAGTACTAAAATTTTCAAAATCATTGCCTTTCATGTGTTTTCTGTGTTCTTGAAGTCATTGACAGCAATCCTGGTTGTTTAAAAAATGGAAAATGTTAAAAATGTCATCTCTCAGCTTTCACTGGCAGGAACAGCAATAATAAGAATCCTTCCTCCCTTCCTCCCTTCCTCCCTTCCTCCCTTCCTCCCTTCCTCCCTTCCTTTCCTCCATAGATGAACTACATTGTATCTCTTACGATGTTTGGGTTGCACCATTAGACCGTTACAATAAGGGTCACATTTTTCTCTTGCATGTCTTCAAAACTATATTTCTTGGCTATGAGCAAGTTGAAACTGCTTTTATCAAGTATTTGTTATTTAATGTCTCTTTAGGCACTAGATTAGATGGCAAGTTATCACTTCTGAACAAAGAAAGTCTGTAGTGCCTTCACATTGAAACAGGAAACTTGATTCTTCAGGATACTTCAACTGTATGACAGTACATTTCTGTCATATCAGTTGAAGAATATAGTCTAAAAGAACACACATTTAATTATTATTTATAGCCTCACAACACCTTGGTTTTTTTCTTGGAATAGAATATATTCCTTAGAACATATATAATAGAACTTGATTCTTTGCATTTGCTCAATCAATTTTGTCAATATAGTTGCAACATGTCAGAGTCTTGACTCATGTATTTGGATCCCATTGTGCACTATTTTTCTTCATTAAAATTATTGTTTGTATTATTATTAAGAGTGATTATCTGAATGTCAGTAAATCTTCCTTTGACACAAAGAAAGGCTGCTTCAGGGTAGAATTCATAATTTTTCTGAGCCTTCACCAGGTCAGCTACAGTAAATGTAATTAGATGAATGGAGGTTTTCAATTCAATGTGGTGAATCAGCTTCTCTGGGTGCTTCTCATCCCTTAGTCTCTGTCACTGACCTCTCGCTGCTGCTTCTCAATGTGAGACCTCTGTTCTGATATGAATATATATATATATGTATATTTATTATACAGTTTAGGAGTTCTGATGTTACCAGCAAGAAATATGTTTTGAAGGCTCTTGCACAGGAACCGAGACTGCACTGACATCTTTAGAACTTAAAAAAAATCTTCAGTAGAGCCATCTTACCAAACAAAGAGATAATTCAGACATCTTGTGTGATTCTACATGATAGTGTTACATTTTGGGGAAAAGAGGTTGTGCACTTTGAAGAGACTTAACAGAACCATTTGAGGTGCTAAGAGATAAGTAAATTAGGTAAATAGTACTTATTTTCCTTTTTTTTTTTCTTTTTTTTTCTTTTTTTCACTTTTCCCATTAACTGATAAAACAACTAGGGCAATATCATTGTTGTGCTTAGTCTTTTGTGATGGGTTTGTTTAAATTTTTTTTTTTCTTTAGGTCCAGTGTTACATTTACTAGCTCTTTCCAGAAATTCAACTCAAAAAATGTGGAAGAGATACTGACATTTTTTCTCTTATCATCTGATTAATAAGAGTATTTAAATGCTGGCTCTGGGGGAGAACTAAAAGTCACAAATTCTGCTCTTCAGGATCCTGCTGGAAAGATGCTTGAATTCCCTGAGATGACCAGGAATATTCTCATTCACTTTCCTCTGAAAAGCATGAGACAATTTTGCCCTTTCAAAAATTCTCGTGGAATAAGAATAGTAAATCTCTGTGTGCTGTGTAGTTCAAGTGACAGCAGCTGCTTACAGCTCCTCCTGAATAGGACATGATCTATCTTCTCTTTCTGACACCTGTGTCATCCTCCAATCTATAACTTATAGCTTGTGGGAGAAAGGAAGGAAGTCTCTTTTCTTCATAGACTAAAAGCAAAATTAAAAAGAGAACAGTTGAAGAGAATTTTGTTGAAAAGCGTAGACATGGTAGATGAATCTTTTGCTCAAAAGAGGTCCTATTCTTGTATTTGCAGCCCTGGTCTTGCATCATAGACTACCATTGACTCCCAGATGCTTCTAGTTTCCTGTACAGTTAAATAAACCAAAATTGCAAAGGCCTAAAACTAAATTGTCTAAAAATAATAAAAAAAAAAAATTAAAAAGTATCCTTCACTCCACATTCCCAGAGGAAAGTTTCTTATATTACACACCCTCAGACATGTGACAAGTATTCCTAGATATGTAGGGTATTGTTATTTTTTTTGTTGGTTGGTTTTGTCTTATATTGTCTGATTCTGTTCCATGTCCATTTCAGTCCAGTAAATCTGGAATAAGCAACTCACTTTTTTTTTTATTTTATTTTTGTTTGTTTGCTTCTTCTCAGAAATATAATCTTACTTTTCCTTTTTTTTTTTTTTTTTAAATTCATTCAAGCGATTTGGCCATTTTTTTTTAATGTGGAAAATACTTCATCTTCTCATAAGAAGCATTGTAGATTCCAGAGACCATCAGCATGCTTTTTGACAACTAAAAATAATTTCTTTTTATATGCAGCATTTAATAAATAAAGCTCATTTTTAAGGCCTTTCTCAAAAAGTTACTTCACTTCTAGTATCTTTAAATATGTCAGGTAATACATTTTTCTGCTGAAATAGACCATTAAGTTTCTTCATTGTAAGTGTTCACACTGTACAGGGGTAGCGAGTCAGAATGCAGAATTTTGTCTCAACATTTTTTTTTTTTTTCTTTTTTTAATCAAGGAACAAACTTCTGGCTGCTTTTAGGGACTGGTCAAGACCTTTCACTTCTGATCAAATCCAAATATAGCTATAAACTGTTTTAAGGTGCTTAAAAAATAAAAATTACTTTATATCATCACTTTATGAAATGTGATAATTAAATACTTTAACAGTAATTAAAGATGATTCTACCTTATAAACATTGTGATTTAAATATTTTGAGGTACTGAATCTACACTTAAATAGAGAAATCTTTTCCTTTAAAGAAGAGAGTGGTAAATTTTATGAAGCCTATGTAAAAATAGATTATGTCCAAATACAGGTAAATAACATTAACTCTGAAGCATTTGTTTATTCATTTCCTGATTACTTAATTTATTTACATAGAAGAATCCAGATGAGTCCTTATTAAAAAAAAATATATATGATACACATTTCAGTATCTATGACTTTTTCCTTTACAGATCTGTTTCTGAATTGCTATGACCCCCTCAAACAAAATAAAATAATATAAAATAATAATAATCATATAGAAAATTTAAATTGATAAAGCACTGCCATTACATCTTATTCAGCATTTATATCTATTCAGCATTATCTAGTCATTGACAGCTGCTGCTTCTTATAAACAGAACCTATTTAGAAAATATCAAAATACTGCTTTTCACTTACAGAACATCAGCAAAAATGCAGAGTCGTGACCACTTCCAGATATATTTCCGGAGCATATATATTCCTGTGAAGGTCTCTTACTTCTCCAAAACTTGAAATTCAGCAGAAATACTCTATCCTTAATAGTTAAAGATATGGTTAAGGGAGGCGATTCTTTATCCATATTCAAAGCTCAGCCGTGAAATTGTGTTACTTCCCTCTCTTTAAAACGATTTTGCAGCAAAAATAATGAAGCTAACTCCTCAGTTTCTATTCTAATCGGGAGAAGACCCCTTGAAGAATGAGATTTCGTTACGGGGGGGACTTTCTAAAGAAGAGTTGGATTTTAATTTAGAAGGAAAAACAAAAGTTGGCCGTTCCCAGTCTCTCTCTCGCTCCAGGACACGGGATAAAACAGATTTTTTTTCACTCATCTCAGATCTCTGGGAGGGGAAACTCCCCCGAATGAAACTCCACTCTCTTATCTTGACAACCTTACTGAGCTGGGGTGATTTCATGGGAAATATTTTACAAAAAATATGAATTTATAACACCGAAGAAACACAAACTGAGAGGACGACAGCTCTTCCTGGCTAACAGTTAGGCGGGCTCTGCAAAGCACCAATCACAGTTCACCGCTTCGCTATAAATTCAGGCATCGGGGTTACTGTAGCCCAATTACTTTCTTTTGATTAGGAAGAAGTCTCTGCCGCGATGTCGGAGACCGCTCCCGCCGCMGCGCCCGCGGTCGCGGCTCCCGGCGCCAAGGCGGCCGCCAAGAAGCCCAAGAAGGCGGCGGGCGGCTCCAAAGCCCGCAAGCCCTCGGGCCCCAGCGTCACCGAGCTCATCACCAAGGCCGTGTCCGCCTCCAAGGAGCGCAAGGGGCTCTCGCTGGCCGCCCTCAAGAAGGCGCTGGCGGCCGGCGGCTACGAYGTGGAGAAGAACAACAGCCGCATCAARCTGGGGCTCAAGAGCCTCGTGAACAAGGGCACCCTGGTGCAGACCAAGGGCACCGGCGCCTCCGGCTCTTTCCGGCTTAACAAGAAGCCGGGCGAGACGAAAGAGAAAGCGCCGAAGAAGCGCGCGGCGGCGGCGGCGGCCAAGCCCAAGAAGGCGGCGGCCAAGAAGCCCGCGAGCGCCGCCAAGAAGCCCAAGAAGGCGGCGGCGGTGAAGAAGAGCCCCAAGAAAGCGAAGAAGCCGGCGGCTGCGGCGGCCAAGAAGGCGGCCAAGAGCCCCAAGAAGGCAGTCAAGGCTGCGAAGCCCAAGAAGGCAGCGAAGAGCCCGGCAAAAGCGAAAAAGGTTGCGCCCAAGGCTGCCAAGCCCAAGGCGACCAAGCCCAAAGCAGGCAAAGCGAAGAAGGCGGCGCCTAAAAAGTGAAGCGTTGAAGTGGAAATACTTAAACCCAACGGCTCTTTTAAGAGCCACCCAGGATTGTCTGAAAAAGGGCTGTTACACTCGATTACTAAACACCGCGCCCGCAGAGGAGCTAACCACACACCACTGTCCTTGTGGGAAGACATTGGTCYGTGCAGTGGATTGGTCGCCGAACTTCCGGTCGTCGTTACGTTGAGATTTAGGGAAAAAATAAATTTACGTTTCTTGAGAAATTACTTATTTTTTGCAGCACCGTGAGATGGTGCCTTTTTTTAAAGGGATTCTTGGGGGCGGAAGTCGGGGGGGGGGGGGTACTGACGCATGAGGGCATACAGATTTATAGCAGTACTTTAACTATCCTGGTTGCTAACAGCCCATCAGTGCCGCACCCTTCAGTGCCCGCAGCTACAAAGTTTCCGCACGGCTCCGCGAGTCCTTGGCGATGATCTTTCCACTCAGCAGCGCTGTTATGGGGCCACGGGGCAGTTCCTCATTTCTGCGTGACTTCACGGATCTTATGTTAGAGAACGAGTTTGCCGGGACGGGTGTAACTAGCAGTGGGGATGGTTCTCGCCTTACCACTGGAAGTGCCAGCGTCAGGAGCCGCGTTCAAGAGTCGCTGGTGCTGGATATTCTGCTCCCGGGGCTCGGCGTCCGCCCTCGGTGCACGGGGCGGCGGGGCGAGACCGCGCCCCCCCTCGGTCGGATCCGATTGGCTGATGGAGTACACCTCTGCTTCCTATTGGACGATTTGGAACTTTCGAAAATCCCGCGCTGCCCGCTCGGGCTGCAGCGCTGGCGAACGCGAGACCGCGACCCCCGGCAGGCTGTGCCTCGCAAAGAGCCTGTGCCGGGTTAGCAGCGGCGTCGCTCCTCCTGCTGTTCTGTGCTTGGCCACACCGTCTGTTAGTCTGAGTCCTATYCTCTTACACGGAATGAGGAAAAAACATTTAAGTTTTGAGCACACAGAGATCAGTAAGCAAAACGTTACCATAGTCATTCGCATTCCTCTCCCGATAAATATTTTTTTGGGGGAGGAGGAAGGGGGCTAAGAAGGGGAGCGGGGGAGAATTAGGGACATTTCACCCGAATAACCGCTTTAGTAGTTATTATTGCTTCGCACACCCTCATTCCRAATTAAATTAAAAACTAGCATTCGTTTCTTTTTTACAGAAGATAAAAAATATATATTTCACAGCAAGTAGCAAACTGCATTTTTTTAAGATAACTTTCAATTCAAATGCTRAGAAACAGATAAAGGGCAATGGAAAAAAAGTATTATTTGTGACTGCATATAGACTTATTTCAATGACCCATATAGTATATATGTGTTAGAGCTCTTTCAAGGAGTACGTGGGTGGCTCTTAAAAGAGCCTTTGGGTTARACGATCTTCCAAACAAGAAATTTACTTGGAGCTGGTGTACTTGGTGACGGCCTTGGTGCCCTCCGACACGGCGTGCTTGGCCAGCTCGCCGGGCAGCAGCAGCCGCACGGCCGTCTGGATCTCCCGCGACGTGATGGTGGAGCGCTTGTTRTAGTGCGCCAGGCGCGACGCCTCGCCGGCGATGCGCTCGAAGATGTCGTTCACGAACGAGTTCATGATGCCCATGGCCTTGGACGAGATGCCCGTGTCGGGGTGCACCTGCTTCAGCACCTTGTACACGTAGATCGAGTAGCTCTCCTTGCGGCTCTTCTTGCGCTTCTTGTCGCCCTTCTTCTGCGTCTTGGTCACCGCCTTCTTGGAGCCCTTCTTGGGCGCGGGCGCTGACTTAGCCGGCTCAGGCATTCTACCAGACAATCTCCTCACACCGCTCAAAAAGAACAGCGGCTAAAATGGCCGCGGCGTCCTTATTTATAGAGCTGTTATGCAAATATCAGCGCTCCAGATTGTGCAATATGATTGGACGCTACTTCAGGGAGGCGTGGCCATTGTCCATGATTGGTCCAAAGAAGATCCTCCTTCTCATTGGCTGAGCTAACAATGACTGCTGGTAGCCAATCGCGAGGAGCCAATCCCGCCCAGGGAAGGGATAAAAGAGGAAGGTTCTCTGCGTCACTACAATTCTCTCAGTTTTCTACTTGGAGCGGTGGTCGCGTTAACGCAGCAGCGCCAGCATGTCCGGCCGCGGCAAACAAGGAGGCAAAGTAAGAGCCAAGGCCAAGTCGCGCTCGTCACGCGCTGGGTTGCAGTTCCCCGTGGGCCGCGTTCATCGCCTGCTCCGGAAAGGTAACTACGCCGAGCGAGTAGGAGCTGGAGCGCCCGTTTATATGGCGGCCGTGCTGGAGTACCTGACGGCTGAGATCCTGGAGCTGGCGGGCAACGCGGCGCGCGACAACAAGAAGACGCGCATCATCCCGCGCCACCTGCAGCTGGCCATCCGCAACGACGAGGAGCTCAACAAGCTGCTGGGCAAGGTGACGATCGCGCAGGGCGGCGTGCTGCCCAACATCCAGGCCGTGCTGCTGCCCAAGAAGACCGAGAGCCACAAGGCGAAAAGCAAGTAAACTTAACTAGAAAAGCCATTGAGATATTTCAAAGCAAAGTATATAACCCAAAGGCTCTTTTCAGAGCCACCCACCAAATCAAAAGAGGAGTTGAGTTGCTTCCTTAACAAAAGTGATTGAAATTTGTTTTGTTAAGGTGGAGGTATATTGAGTGTCTAAAAACATTGGCTTTATTAAAAAATGTTGGGGAATAGTCTGGGAGTTCTGAACTAGAAAAAAAAAAAGTAAATGTTCTTCCAGGAATTTAATGCTTCTTTTGTGACTGTTGTGTAAGAGGTTTGCTAACTTACTCTTTCATGTTTGAGCTGTTTTTATTATTTGGATTTAAAAGCTACTACAGGAATCTGTTAAACCAGGAAGGATGTCTAGAAAATGAAGCAAAGCTTCTATACAGCCTGAAAATAAGTATAAAATTATTCAATCATGTGTTACTATATCTGAAGATAAAAGAAACCTCCCTTTGTATGCATTTTTTTCCTCTAAAGACAGTGGATTTTCTTTGTCTCTTTTAAAGACAAGTCTTTCTTATGACTTTGTTGTTGTTGTTATGTAGAATTGAAACTCTGAATTGCTAGGGGGAAACATTACATTTATCCAGATCCAAAAGTAGCCAGACTGGTACTACCCAACACCAACATGCCACCCAGGAAACCCCTACCAACACTGATAAATTCTAGCTTTAAGGGGGATTTTTAATTAGGCCATTCATTCCAATTGACTGACTTTGCCTAACTTGTTTTCTGTTAGATCATTTAACCATGGATATTACTAGAGCTTGCCTTTTACTCTGTTCACCCAAGCACCATTAAAAGCACAGTAGCAAATCCCTGTAGAGTCACTATTGTGGACTGTGAAAAAGACTGTCCAGCTGATGCCTCTTTTTAGGTGGCTCTTAAGAGCTTTATCTAATGGCAGGGGCTGTGTCTCAACCTAATAAGGCCCCTAGCCCCTGTGTGCAGCAGCTCTGCTCTTTCTCTCCTCTGGGGAAAATAAGGTCTGACTGTTTTGATCTTGAAACTTTACCTTGACTATGGCAGAGACTCTGTAGGTTACTCTCCCTCACATCTGAAAAGGGACGTGAAGGACGAAGTGAGAAAATATAATCCTGGTATGGTGACAGTGCCTGTGTCTAATATTTACAGCACCAACAGGGTTACTGTCCCCACAATGCTGCTGTTTTGATCCTCATCAGCAGCACCAGCAGCAACTTATGTCCTGGCACTTGTATTATCTGTTGAACTGTGGTAACATAACTGTTTTATTTTAATGTGCACATTAGTTTTATCTCTAGGATATAGTCTCTGCACATGCGTATGAGGATGCGTATGTGCGTATGAGGAAATTAATCTCCAGATCAAAACACTGATAAGTAGAGAATGTTCGAATCCTCTGTATCCAGGAGTGTGATTTCAACTTGAGCAGGCCTATATACATTGCCACCAGAGTTAGGTGGCACTGCCAGTGAGGCCCTGGCATGTCTTTGAGTGCAAGTCAGTCCAGCGCATTTCACAGACTTCTTCCATCTGACCTGCAAGGTATCATTTTTCTTAATCGTCTCAAGATCTTATTTTAAGCACTCAATTGTTGCTCATGTTACTTTAGTAATATGAATTTCAAACTGTTTTTTCTATTTATTAGCATTCCTTTTATTCATTCTTAGCTACTGATGATTTTATCTCACTCTACTGTGACAGGACACTGGTATTGCCTCTAAGCTTAATGTGAATACATCCTGTATCAGACAGTTGTCAAGTAGGAATGGCTCAGTGATGATAATGCTGGCAAACTTTCAATTATGAAGATTGCTACTTTACAGGCTGCAAGTACTCTGTGAACCAAAATAATAAAAATGAGTAGGTGAGTTTCATTAGATAAATACTTATTTCTTTTGGAAAAAAAAAAATCCATATCATACATACAGTACCTTAACTGTATCTCTTGTTTCCAACACCCTTTCCCTTTCTGAAGAATGGGCAATATAAAAATTACAGATCAGGTATGTTTAAAGACAGCTCCATGCTGTCAGTCTATATACCAAGAATCTTAGAAGAACATAGATAAAAAATAAGATTAGAAATATTTGTACTTTTCAAATTTACTTTACCTGCAGTATTACAAGAAAAAATGCATTGTATAAAAATAACTTTATATGACTTTAATTTGCAAATTATCACACTTATTCTAGAAGATATAAATATTATACTGAATATTGAATATTGAATATAAATAACTATGTCAGCTCTCAGTAAAGTTAGCATAACTTTGCAGGAGCATGTGACATTAATAGGTAGGTGTCTTGATATTTTCTTTTTAATGATATATTCTCATGTGTAATTGTGCTGAAAAAAGATGGTTCTTTAAAATGTGAGTATAATGGGGAAAAAAATAGGCCATGGTCCTGAATGAGGCACAGTGAGAAAGCTATAACTAATAAATAATTAAATGAGGGATGGGAGGGGGAAAAAAAAAAAAAAGGGGGGGGGGGAAAGGGGGGCAGGAAGAGAGACAGATTTGAAAAGATTTCCTTTCTCATTTTATTCCTAGTACTATGTAATCCAAACTCCCCAAAATTCTGTTGTCTAGAATCCAGGGGGAAGGGGTGCGTGTTGTATGAGTCTAAATTGGAATTTCAGTACCTGCTGCTCCCAGACTGTACTTAGCAGTGAAGATTTCTTTCTGCATAAAAGGCTTCTAGCTTAAAAATAAACAAAACCACCAGAGAACTGACACTGGTGGTAAGAAACTGTTGGGAGGTGTGTGTATAGCCACTTAGAGTGACCTAAGTGTAGGACTGTTTTGAGGAACGGATGATCAATAATTAACCTGCTAGCTGCAGTCTCAGCCCCTGCATGGCCCAGAATCTGTGTTGAAATGCTTTCAAAAAGTATTGTAGAGTTTAAATTGTTAGAGGAAAAGTTACAGAAGGATGATATTCTTACATTTAAAAGTATCAATAATTGATAATTTCTTTAGAATCTAGAGAATATAGAAGGTGGCTTAATGTCTTCTAATGCTCCCCTGTCTTAGGAGTCAAGTCTAGACAGTGAAATATAGGTGTGAAGAACAAAGCATGTTTGTAACACTGCAGTCAAATTATAATGTTAGATATCAGACTGACATGTCTGCTTATGACATATATTGTATGGCACAAGTTGAGTTGGGATTAGTACATTCAGTTCAGCCATCAAGTGAACATAATCTCAATTAAATGTATTTATACCATGCCAGGTCATAGATATTTCCCTACTAATGGCAACACTTTTACTTTTATTTAAAAGAATAATTTGAATTTAAATGGGATTCACAGGCTTGAATATAAATACGGTCACACAAAAGATACTCATGCATATTCTCGACAATAATAACATAATACAGGAAAACTTCATCTTTTCTTGAATTTGGGAAACATAATGCTGCCAAGCTAGGTAATGGATATTTTGCTCTACTTTTGTAAATTAAATTCAGCAAGTAAGTCACAAATATTTACATATAATGCATTTTAAATGTACTTTTAAGTGTTGTATATTTATGCATAATATATGTATGTATACATTTACAATATACTTTGATGTAAGTACACAAGTGTTATATATTTGTATAAATATGTGTATTTATTTACAATATATTTGTACATACACATGGGTGTGTATGTAACAAAATTCCCAAAAAAAGAATCTAGTCTTTTTTCTAGAAAAGTAAATTGAAATATTGTTATGAGTTAAATAGAAGTAAAAAAAAACTAAAAGTGTTCACGTATGAAGTAACAGAAGAAAGTAAAAATACAGAAAATCAAGGAAAAGTTTTGGTAAGGAACATACTACAGCAAGTGTACAATGACACTCAAATTACATTTGCAGAATCCAGAACAAAGAGTATAAGTAGGATAAATCCAGCCCAAAAAAAAAAAATAATAAGGATAGGTTTAAATTGCATAAAATCAAAATATTAAAAATGATATGAATTCTAACTATTATAGCTTTTGAGTGGGTAAAATAGATGAAGCTAAATCCCTGTGTATTAAGAATGCATTTGTAACCTATCATTATTCATCAACTCTATAAATACAATTCCACATTCTATAAAAATAAGTGTATACTGGGCTTACTAGTTAAAGCGTGAAAATACATTCTCAGAGTTTTTAGATGGCCTTTCAAGTAAATAGATACCTACAGGACACTGATTTTAAGCAGTCATTCAAAAAAACATTCCCTTTTTTGTTCGTTTGCTTGTTTTCTGGTGCTGTCTGTAACGTTTCCTTCAGCTCCCGGAGTCGGCTACAGAGCAGCGAGCGGTTTCTCGCTCGGAAACCGGAACACGGTGTCCAGGAAGAGGCAGCAGCGGCTGCAGAAGTCGCGCCCGGGGCTGGCGGGGCGGGCAGCGAGGGAAGGCGCGAAGCAGCCCGCGGAGCTGCCGAGGCCTCCGGGCCGCCCGTCTCAGGATGGGCCCGGCCACAAATCCCTCTCCGGCCGCTCGGAGCCGCAAGTGGCGCCCGCTCCCTCCGACCTGAGGGTCGTTCTGCGCGCAGGAGAAAGCGCGGGGGGCGAGAGGGGAGAGTCCACGCAGAGGAACACACGATATTCCTGCGTTTGCACGGAACAAAGGACAAAACTGTAAAGGGGCGGGGGGGGAAACGGGGGGCGGGATGAGACCGGATTGCAACGGGCCGGGGGCGGAGCGGGGACGCGGGGCGAGGCGCCGCATTGGCCGGATTTTGCCGCAGACCCCGGCTCGGGCGGGAGGGCCGGGCAGGGGCCGGGGGCGCCGCACCAGAAGCAAGGGCCGAAGCGCAACCCGCCCCGCGCCCACCCAGGCCGAGAGCTCCTGCTCCTGCTGCTCCTGCTGCCGCCGCCGCCGCCGCCGGGAAGTCGCCCGCGCGGGGCCCGCGGCGGGGCGGGCTCGGAACGCGCGCGGGGACGCGCAGGGGGGCGGAGCGCCTGGGGAGAGGAGCGAGGCCGGGGAAAGGCGCGGCGACCGCGAGCGGCAGCGGGAGCCCCGGGCGGGGAGCGCTGGGCGAGGGGGGCAGGGGTCCCCCTCAGGGCGGCGAGCGGGGGGGAAAGGCGGGGACTGCGCCCGAGCAGCCGCCTCCTGGCGGGCCCCGCCCCCTGTCGGCGCAGTCCCCAACCAGGTCGGCTCCCAGCCGCTATATTGCCCCGCGCCGCCGCCTCCCGCCAYAGCGGTGCCCGGCAGCGCGTCTGGCAGCATGTCCGGCAGGGGCAAGGGCGGCAAGGGGCTCGGCAAGGGCGGCGCCAAGCGGCACCGCAAGGTGCTGCGCGACAACATCCAGGGCATCACGAAGCCGGCCATCCGGCGGCTGGCGCGGCGCGGCGGCGTGAAGCGCATCTCGGGGCTCATCTACGAGGAGACGCGCGGCGTGCTCAAGGTCTTCCTGGAGAACGTGATCCGCGACGCCGTCACCTACACGGAGCACGCCAAGCGCAAGACGGTCACGGCCATGGACGTGGTGTACGCGCTCAAGCGCCAGGGACGCACCCTCTACGGCTTCGGCGGCTAAAGTGCCTCATTCTGCAAAGCTTAACTGTTAACACCAAGGYTCTTTTCAGAGCCACCCACAAATTTCACAATGGGAGCTGTTTYTTAACYMT